CTGTTAGCCGCCAGAACCAATTCCCGATCTCAAGCTCTTGTTCTGTCTGCAAATTGCTCACTTGCGCCGTAAATCGTTTTTCTCTAAAGCCACCCCATCCCCGAGCTCGAGCTCACGACCAGTGCTACAGTCTCAAGTGCGGTCCACGTAAGGCAAGGCACCGTTGGCAAATGTGCAAAGGATGTGAACAGGAGACAATCACATGCCGTTTCCCTGGTTGTAGAAATCTTGGTCGCCCCTGTCCTCCCCAAACCAACAGTAGACTAGCAAACCAAGAGCAAACGATCAAGCACACTATCACTATCATTAACTTGCATCAACAAACCAACTAAGGAGCGCACGAACCAACTCGCGAGGGAACACAAACACCAACTCTCTAGACGCTCTAGGAGAACCGAGACACCAAGGCAAACAAGAGAAGCAAAGCTCCGTTTGAGCGTTTCCCATAGCGTGAAATAAATCTCTGGAGGCAAAGACAACCAGAAGATTCGCCAAACCGATCCTTGAACCAACTTGGATTTATGTCCATGTTCTGTGTTTGTTTCTTGTTAAACATTCATAGCAGGAGCGACTGGCAATATCAGCCATACGTTGCCGTAAAGGGGCACAAAACCAATATTGACCGTGACTTACCATGAGGAACTAAGCCAAATGAAAAGGATTCAACCCAAACCAACTAAACTTGTCTCCCATGATTGTCTAGGGTCCCTCTCCTGCAGTGGAAATCCTGAAAAGTACCAAAAACTGCAACAAAAAACCGGACCCCTGTGGACTCACTTCTCTTTGAAACCACCAAAAAACCGGCCAGCGATGGCCAGCGACTCAAGAAAAAGACCCGGTGGTTTCCCTCCATCCCGAGCCTCGAGCCCCGGCCCAAAGCGAGTCACGTCGTCCGCAGCCCGCCTGCTTCAGCGCCGCGCCCCGGTGCCCGTTCACCTCCACGATGCGGTGGCCCCGGTGCACCTCGAGGCAAACCGACAAGCCGAGAACTCAAATTGAAATGGGTCAAAATCAACCAAGGGACTAAGGGACCGCAAGTTTTCGTCTTTGGCTTTTTGGTTCCATTTCCCAAGGTGCCATTGTGGTACCCTTTTTCGAGCAGCCAAGTGGACATGGAAAACCCATAGACCCCGAGGCTTGGGGTCCCTTCTGTCAGAAAGAGTCTGGTTTCTCCACACGTGGGGCGATGTTTCTTGGGCTCCAAATGGCTCCAGATTCCAGGCTCGGAGTACTGAGATCCCTGTATGCCCTGCCGACGTGGTTTTCTCGGCAAGAGCTTCCTGGCTGTGGAGTTGAAGGCCTGCTCTGGACAGATCCGACTCCAGTCCATTCCCTGGTTGAGATTTGGATGTTGTTTAGTGGAAGTCTTGGGGAAGCCGTTGGGGAAGCTGAGCTGCCAACAGGCAACGCCAAGTCCCCAAAAGAAAGGTATTGCCCCTAGTTGTTTAATTCCCAAATGTGGATATGTGTCTGAAAGGGAACCCCGAAACTGCTGCTGTGTGGCCTTTTTTGCTTGCTTTTCAACTTTCAACCCCAAAACGGGTGCCAACTCCAAATCAAATCAAAGGTGAACATGGCAGCCCCCAAAAAGAACATGCGCATAACGGATCAATATTCCATTCGGCCCCAAATGATCATGGCTTACTTGTCCAATTGCAAAAATCAAATATTTTTTGTGGTTTCCCAACCACTGGTCATCCCATGTTTACCGTTTGACCTTTTGATCAACCCTCACGGTTCAAATCCCCCACGGAGCAGGTCCGCTGAAGCCGTCGGCGCCTCTTGGCTGGGATTCAGCTCGTTCCATCGCCGGATGAGCCCATCCTTGACCGCGAGCACCACCGGACAGTCCACCTCCTTCTCGCCTGCGAGCCGGTCTGGGGGCCACGAACCCTCCCCTCCGCAAACAACAAAATGAGACGCCCCAAATGGATCGTAAATAATTTTAGAGTAATCAAATGGATCGTAAATAATTTTAGAGTAATGAAAGGAGTGAAAGGAACCATTTTGGTAAGACTCAAGGTCATGTTCCCCCCCCCCGCCTCAAAAGAAAACAACAACCACAACTCACAGATCAACGTTTTTTTTTTCAATCTTGAGGATCTATTTTGTTCCTGCATCTTTCTAGAAAGTTGCAAAGCTGCTTGGTACAATACACGACAAGAAACTGAAATGCACCAGTGGAATCCGTCAGAAGGACTCCTGCAAAAAGCAATTGCCTCGTAGTAGCCACATCAACATCTAAGCTGGAGGGAAGGCTGTTCACGCAGGCGTCTTTGGGCTGGTTTTGTTCAAACTCCGATTTCCCGGGCGCTGCAAAGTCTTTGACTGCCCAGAGTCGGCACAGTCCAAGAAAGGGATTCATGGATTCGCCGTGATCTCACACACGCTCTTGGAGGTGTCCTTCGCTTCCGGGCATGTTTTGGCATCTGCATTGTAACATCAATAAATGGCACATCATGTCTTCCTTTGTAGACATGTCATTAGCAGTCGAAAGAAAAAAACAACTACATAACCTTAACTATAACAATGCCTATAATCGCTTCCGTCCTATGATCCTGGCGAGGAAACGGCTCACCTAAACACAAAGGTGGCTTTTGGTGAGGACGCCGGGTAAGATGTATCTCTGCAAAACAAAACAAAAAAGAAAAAAAACACATCAAGGGGTGTTGTCCCTGCTTGGGGCTCGCCGTATCGACTCAGAATTGCTTTCGGGTGGATAAGCTTCTCTCCATGCTGCGGAGTTTGAAATCAAACTGCTGGATGGTTGGACAAGTGCAGGAAACTTGCCCAGACCCTTTCTGGGGTTGACTAATTTGATAAGGAACCCATCAAACAGATTGGACAGTGACGGAGAGCCCGCCTTTTCGTAGAGGGCCCCTCCTGTCCCCGCTATTTGCCGCGACCACCTTGGGTCGCTAAGTACGTAGGTTCCCCCACAAAAGACTTCGACCCTTTCCGCGGAGTAGAGGTGGGGGCCTACTTTCTGTCCTGAAAAAGGGTAAGTTCCCTATTGCCCTCGACCTATCAAGTTGTGCTTGCCCAGTTGCAGAAAACAGGAACACAACTTCCTAGATTGATTTGCAAGAATCGATGCAGCGGGACAGGTTTGGCACGTTTGGCAAAATTACCGCCAAGACGAACTTGCTGCACTTGTAGGGCAACCTTACAATATTCTGGGCAAGTCAATGACTTTCATGATGCGAGCACGCTTTACCCCCGTTGGTGAGCTCCTTATACATTGCTGCTGTCCAACAAAAGTAGAGGAGTCGACTCCATTTTGAAGATCTCCCCCTAAAATTCTGACCCTACCGCCCACCAATATGGAACCTGACTGGGGGTCTGAAGGGGGCCTTCTGGGCGGTGGGCGTATCCACGAAGGCCGTCTCAAAACACGCCCGTACCTGAGTCAACGTCGATGCCCAGCTTCTGCCCTTGACTCCTCGAGAGGGAGGTTCAGCCACAGAGGTAGCCAATCTTCTCTAGGCTTGCGATTCTACTGCAAGCCTTAGAATCTGTACAGAAAAACAAAGCGATCCGTGTCAACCCCGCAAAGGTGGGATGCGGAGTGATTTTACTGCAAGCCTTGGAGTCTGTACGTCCACAAACAAAGTGATCAGTGTCTGACATCCCAAGGTGAGATGGGGAACGAGGACTCCAACCATACTCCTCACGGAAGGCTCTGAAGGCCAATGTTTCACCATGAGACCAAGATTCTCAGGTTGCTCAAACCGAGCCTAAAGTGGGATTGTGGAGGAACTTGCATTCGAAGTCTTTGGAGCTTTCACATTTCAAAATACACATCACTGGGAAGACACGATGCCACAACATACTAGTGGAAGGAGCTTAGCGCAACATTCATCTTTCAGACTCCAACACAAGGCTGCTTGAATCAGCTTGACTGATCTGGCAATCCATGTGTCAAACATTGGAAGCCATTGAAATGCATGGGCTAGCCCCACCAACTGCGAGAAAGAAACAAACAACATGTGCTGCTTTTAGGGGACCCCGCAAACGGAGGTTTTCCTGTTGGTGTCTCTTTACACCAACCAACAAAAAGGTACCCTGAAAAAACGACACACGCAATACGATTGCCCCCCAGAAATCAAAAACCAGCCATCTATGCAGCCAACTGGGTGGGGGCCGACTCTTGGGGATCCGCTCCTGTCCACCTGCACCAGGTATTCCCGGTGCTCCATGGCCCGGAGTCGCTCTCTCGTGCCGTCGAATCACCGTGCCTTTTTGATGTTTTGCATCCGAACGAGGACTTGGAGAAAACACACACACACATGTCAGCTGTCAAAACACAACCTCTTTTGGAGGCCAGGTTCCGGTTCTGCACGAGAGTTGGACAGCAACATCTGTGTATGTCCTGGCCATTTGTTTTGTTGTTTCTTTGCCGGGTTCACGGGTAGACTTCGACCTCTCAACATGTCTTGGTTCCAAATCAGCTGAAGTTCCGACATATGCTTCTCCAATTCCGTTCCATGTTGAGTATAATTGTATAGTGTTTGCTTCAGTGTCCATCACCCAACAATGTGTATTGTAATCCCACCTCAGGCTTTTCGGAGCAAGCGTGGCCTGATCTCCGGCTTCTCTCATAAGCCGACTGACGAGACACCTGGTAGCTTCTCTCACGAGCAGGGCTTGCTTCTTCACCCTTTCTCAATCCCAAGGGCAACCCCAGAGGGGACAAACCTGCATGTGGGGATCGTCAACGCAAAGGGTCACCAGGAATCGGCCACAGTCAAACGTCCACTACGAGCGACATTGCTCAAGGTTCCCAGATCGCTGCTTCCCTCTGGATGACAGCGTTTTACCCGGCGGAACAAAACATATCATGGGTGACCTGGTTCCCTGAAATGGGCCGGGAACAGAAGCACAGCTGGTCGCCCTTGGTTAAGTCCCTTAACCAAACTGAAGCAATGCTGTTGCTGCAAGAAAGCCAGAAAACCCTCAAACAACGACACCCACAAGGACCCCATCTGGGCGCTTCTGGCCACACAAAGCTTCACCGGCACCAGCTGGCGCCAGCGGAGGAACTCCGTGGCGACCTCCAAAGTGGCGACATCTTAAAATCGAACCCCAAAAATCGCGGTATCCAAACCAAAGAAATTGAGGATGATAGTCACGGCACACCGGTTGGAACCGATCAGGTCCCCTTTGGGACTGGACGGCTTTGAAGCGGATTTCTGGTTGAACTTGCGGGGCGTGGGATGAAACATAGGCGACTCCTCGAGAACGGGAAAGCAGCCACCTGTCCCATTCCTTTAAGGACACAGAAACTGCCACGAAAAGTGCATGCCGGTGCGGGAGGGATCCGATGGAGCGTTGCTCAAGCATGAGCATAGGCAGGCTATGCTCAGAATCCACTTGAAGCTATTGACCTGGACTCTCGTTTGAATTCGGCTTTGGACTTCATCTGCGCCAGTTGATGGGTATCCTCGTCAAGTTTCAACACTTAGACTTTCAGCTGAAGGTTGCTCTCCCAAAGGTGTCTCCAGGAAAAGAGTTCACCAAATTGTCAGTAAATTTGGATCATGTTCCCTCCAACTGGGTTTTCTCTTGCAACTTGGCTGGTGGCTAGTATAATTTGCTTCTTTTTGCATTGTGTGTTTCGCTTTCAATTGTTGTCTATTGCATTGTTCCAACACGCGAATCAGTTGAACCAATCGACACCCTGCAAGCGTCCTGCCTGAGCAATGTTCTCCACAATCCCAGCCTCGCTCCTCGTGCGATTTATCTTGCTCGCGCCAAACCATTCGCAAGGTTTGGCCGGCCTGAAACACAGCAAAGCATTAAGATTGGCTGCTATGGTTCTAAGTTAGTTTTAAGAAACAAGTTCCAGACATATATCCTTAGCCAAAGATCCTGCAAAACAAACGCGTCTGGCAAAGTTCTTGGCCATGGGGCTTCTCGAAGTACTAGCCTCAAATGGGGCTGGTTTCCTTTTGGTTCTCCTTTGAATACCAACCGAAAGTGGGGGGGTCCAACATTTTGACTTGTGCTGAGGCCGCCGCTCTGGCGGGCTTTGCGCTGGCTTGTTCTTTTCACCGCTTAAGCTGACTGAGCGGTGAGGACCATGGGGGTCCGGCAATTTGAGAAACACTCATGAGAAGGTAAACCATGTTGAACCAGTCCATCGGCTTTTGGCGCCCGAGCAACAAGAGCCCGGTCCGCAGATGGGCTTCATCCGGAGACATTGCAATTGTCCCTACAAATTAATATACGAGTACCCCAAGAAAGGGTCCAAGAGAAGATCCCTCTAAACAGCACGGCTTTGGGGTTCCAAGTTAATCTGAGAGAAATTACCGATTGTTCAATAGTGTTTTGGGTGCTGCTCATGTGCCGTGCTCCCACAAATCATGGGAAAGCCCTCGTTGAGGCACTTCAATCCAGGCTCAAACCGATTTTCAGGCGCAAAGCTTAGCCATGCGAAGCTTTTCAAAGCACCTCCCAACATCACGGGGCAGCCCCAGTCAAATCACATCCAACCCCACCTGTCTTTCACCACAGCTGGGGCCTCCCACCACCACCGGAAGCCAGGGGTCACGTCCAGCTGTGGCCCTCGCGTTCCAAAAACAGGGACCCGGTCAACTGGTTGTGTGTGTGTGTTGTGTCTCTCACTTCCCGAGCGGATTGGCCAGAAAAAACACATAAACTTTTTGTTGCCACCAAGATGGTCTTCCAAGACAGTTGTTCAATCTTCCCTGTAAACACCGTCCATATCATAGTTCCGTGAAGTCCGGCCAAACATGTCTGCCTCGCCACATCTTCAAACAAGTGAATTCCCAACCAAGATCCTATTTATGTTCAGCGCAGGAAGAATGCTAAAGGGGCCTGCCATGCTCCCATCAGCAACAGTCGGCAGTCACAGGAGACCCCGTCTGCCAGCCAATGGCAGGACGCTTTAGCCAGGTTTCCTTAAATGGTTCTGGAAGGTCTGGGGGTTGCTTTTGGGGATACCACATGGGCTATGAACTTATTGTATTAGTTTTTAGAAGGCACCACAACCTGAATCTAAACAAAGAAATCCCCTTCCAATGCTGATGGGTTTTGCTGCTTGCTGGCGCCACGCGTCGGACCCTTTGTTCCAATCATTGGCCCATGACGTTGAGTGGTTGTGTCCAAGACTCCTCCAACATTCCCTCTTTGAGCATTTGACAAATCATGGCGCACACCTCCAATATCATAGCGCACAACTGCTCGAAAGGTACAAGTACTGCGTGTACAGTGACATCCTCCAAAATATTCACCATACGAACTGCTGTGCTTTTCCAGAACACCTCAACAAAGTTAGTTTTGAGAAGCCCTCTCAAAATCTCCACAAGGGACCCAGCAAAATTATGGTTTGTCGTTTTCAACCACGCCTGGCTCATCCTCTTTCACCTCCAGCTCCTGGATATTGCCACTTCTTCGAGCCACTGGCAGTGTTTTTATGGCTAGTGAACAGTGGGTCCCTGGGTCTTACCCTAGAACCAACCTGCAAAAATTGAAGCGGAGCTATTGACAAGTGAGGTGATTCTGGTCGAATTGGGCGACGCCGACATCAAAGCCGCCTCATGAGGCAAACGGATTGTTCTGCACATATGCCAATCACAGCATGTCTTTCAAACTAACAAGAAACATACAAATATATACAAATCAACTTCAGCGACTGGAAGAAGGGTTTCGCAACACCCTGCCCAGGTGGGTCAGCATTGGCGATCCGGGTGAATAGATTTATTTCAACTACAATTCGACAAGAATGGACCAAGGAGATCGAATCGCACACGCCAATAACACAAACACAGGCACGCCACCTGTGTTGATCACCAACTGCATCCTAAAGGGTGCCCCTTTTGCTCCAAGATACACTTAAGCCAAGCAGTAGGGTTCTTTTCTGTTTCTCCAAGATAGACTTAAACCCAGCATCTCCTTGGGGACCTGGGCCAGCCCTGACTTTAAGTCTACCTGGTCTCCTCCGGGGGCGGTGGGGGCGGCGTGCTCGACGCCGCTGAGCCCGGGCGCAGCTTCTTCTTCGCCTGAAGGCATGGCACGTGGCGAGTCAAAATCAAACCCGGTAACACCCTCCCACCTTTCATGGAAGGCACAACCCCATGTAGAAAAAATACTTTCCTCTTGGAAAAGGGGTTTGTGTACCTCCATGTTTGTTGGGAGGGTAACATGGTCGTAATCCAAACACCTGGTAAGGAATCAAAAAGGCGGAGATCCGAACCCATTTATGGCAAGGGGATCATCCCTCACCTTCATCTACCCGGGTTTGATTGTGGCTCAGGTGCTTCCATGGAGGTCTTTCTGGTCCTGCCTTCCTTTTGGCTTTCATTTTCAACCACAGAGGGTACCTTCAAAACAGACACACTCCGATTCGCCCCATCACCCAAATGGGAAAAAATCACTTATGGGCGCAAAAGGTGTTCAATCCACCCAAGCAAATACAAGGACCCCTGGTTTCCCAGGACGAAAACACTCTCAAGATCCGTGCCGAATGCCGAATGCTCTGATCAGCACCCCAAAACACATGATTTACAGAGAAGAATCACCTTTTGGACGGCTCCTGTTGGGGATCCAATGAAAAATATTCGGGGGAGGGGAATTCAAGACTCCGAGAAACAGCAATGATCATCTTCATAGAGCTCCAGCAAAAGTTGGTCCGGGTTTCTTGTGGAAGCTGTTCGACTTTTTGAGTCTTTGAAGCTGAGGGCCAAGGCCATAACAGCCTCACGTTGCCCTTGCCACTCCTTTCCGCTTGTCGAGCCCTCTGCGTGCAAAACAGCCTGCTGCTGCAAAAATCTATGAAGGCTTGGAGCGTTCTGAGGGTTGGCCACTATCTAGAGTCTGAAACCACATGAGTTCCAAGGATTTTCGAACCAATATTGGCTTTCATTCAAGCTGAAGTTCTGATAGGGGGACGCGCCCACCACACACGTGCCTGGTTTCTTTCACAGAGCTGCACATGCACTTGGACGTCCAATCCACGAATGACCTAATGGCCACTGGGATACGGACACGTGCCCGAACCAGGGTTACATGCATTTGCCCGGTCATTGGAAAATAAGGGCGCCTTTGTTGGTTGAGGCTAAACAACAAGCCACTAAACGCTGGTTCGTTCAAAAAAAGAGGAACCAACATAAAACTGGCCATCATCAGAAGCGATTCTTGTTTGCATTACGAATGGGCCAACGGCAATGCCTACAAAAACAACTGCTGGATGTTGCTGGCAAAAAAAGCACCAACTCCCCTGCAAAGGCAACCAAAGCACCTGGAAAGGTGTTCCAGGTTTCGGATCTTGACAAAAACTGAGAACCAATGGGAAGACCATGAAACATGGTCAACCTTCCGTGCCCTGGACCAAGAGCCGTCTTGAAAATATGTCTCATGGTGGAACCTGACAAAACAGGATAGGTCCCTCTTCTTTCTTCAAATTCCTACCCCGAGACCCCAAAAAACACAGATGGATCCAACTCGAATTCACGGCCTCAGGGATGAGCAAGGAGGACTTGGAAGCTTCTCTCGCCGCCTGGAAAAACGGTGGACAGACAGACGCGTAGCGGTTTCGAAACATAGGAAATGGACCCACATGTTGGAAGGTTTTGAAGGGAAACCAAAGGAAACCACCTGGAAGAATTGGTCCCCAACTTTGAGAAACCTTGGGTGTCCGTGGTCGACTTCATTTTCTGAAAGTAACCCGGGCGATCTGCTTCCCTCGAACATTCTAACACCATTCTAGCTCTTTTACCAAAAAACAAACTCAATCCATTCAACCAAATATCTATTCAATATTTCCAAAACATCCCAATCAATTCGCTTTCGAAATCCCCGCCTCGGCTTCCTTGGCCTCTCGCTCCTTCCTCTCTGCTTCGGGATCCTCCTCTGGGGGCGGCTGCCACGGAACCTGCGGAAGCGTTTGCAGGGGGTGTCGTGTTTGTTCCCTTGGGGGAGTGGTTTAAAGGGAAACCGAAAGGCAACGACAACTTTGGAGGTTCCCTCACGCGAATCTGATAGGGCGCCACTGCAAGAAACCTGCGCAAGAAGTTCTCAACTCTAACCGTTGCCGATATTTGCTTGACTCATTCTGTATAGATATACGCCTGTGCCATAGATTGAAGCTCAAAAAAGGGGCTGTCCAGTTGGTCTCTGGGCGAAGCCCAGGTACCTCTCGAACCACAGCGCCTCGAGCTGGAAACCTCCGGAAACTTTGGGATAGCATCAGAGGCTGACTCGTACGTGGGTACCAGAAAATTCGATTCATGATTGGTGGAAAGCAGGAACCGGTCGAGGGTGCTGGGAAACTGTGAGTTCTCGCGTGCTAAAGCAGCAAGCGACCACCTTTAGGGAAGATTTGGGAATGCCGTTACCTTACCGGCCACAAGCCCGATCTTACCCAACCATGGAGCCCTCTCTTTGTTTGGGTTTAATGGGAAACCACGAAGTCATTTTGGGTCCCCCCTCGGGCCCCTCAGTTTGAAACACACCCATTTGTAAGTCTGGTGTTTTGCATGCAGTCAGACGACCGAGACACTGGGGAGGCGGGCAGTTTGAAAGAGGAGCAACGCCTGGTTCGGGCTAAATGTCAAAACTCCAGCATGCTGAATGTCCGCGAGGTTGCAAGGATAAAGCGCCCTGGACCACGGATAATTCCAATGCAAACACCGGAAGCACACTAGCCCAAAGAGACGCTGATCCCAGGGCAGTGGCCAGCCCTGGGAAATATCGGCAAGTGCAGGCTCCAAAAGCAGTCGACCTGAGAGCCGCGAGAACATCGTCATTAGACATAGCCAGAGGTTGAGACTTTGAACCGAAATACGTGTGGCAGCTTCCGGCTGAAGTGTCGTGTTCATGAATTCAGCGCAGAAAGAGGCCAAAAAATGACACACCCAAACAAAACATGTTCCAGCTTTTGATGGAATTGACGACACGGCCCCTCAAATGGGGTGCCTGTTCACCATAGGAATTGGCTTGGGCAAACTCTTCGAGTCATGGTCTGGGATCTAGCCATTTTCTGACCAGGTGAAACCAACCCTCAAACCGCACCTCCATGATCGGACTCGGCTCCATGCCTCAGCTGTCATGTCTTGGACAGTGGCATGAGGAAAATGCGAATGTCTCAGGCATGTTTGGCGGATGAAGAGCTCAAAGGGAACCAACCCAAATTTCTGACATTGATTCATAATCCTTAAGCTGATTTGCCCAAATATCTGGTCGCTATTTGCAGAAGTGCTGGGCTGCCAAAGCACCAACAACAACACAAGGCTATGCAAATCCAGCTGCAACACTGATGCTTCTGGCTCGTTTGGCTAGGTGCATTGTTAGATTGGATGTTGGCTTCGATAGGTGTGTTGATGGCTTGATTGGCGCATTTCAAAAGGGGGCATCCCAAACTGACCGGACCATAGGCTACCGCTAATTGCCCATGACACATCTGGTGGCTTGGCCAACACGGCCAAACTGCTTCAGGGCCCGTCAAGCAAGCGCATTCTGGGGCTTTCCCTTTGGGAGCCCTTGCAAAAATGTCAAACCGCCCTGCCCAGACTTCCCAGCAACCTATCTCTATAGATTTGGTGCCCTTGTCATGAAACATGCTCCTAGTTCCTTCATTCTCCCCCATGTGTTTTGCTCTGATGAAACCAAAAGGAGTCCTTATTCGCACCGTTCACCCCAAGAAAGACTACGCCCACATCCGCTGAGACGTCCAGCGCAAGTTCATGGTGAGGATGTCTGCCATCTCCGCTAAGACCGCCTGGCCAAAATCATGGCCACGCGTGTCAGACAAAGAAGCAAGCAAATGGATGGCCATGAACTCAGCAGGGATATCACAATACTCTGGTGTCAAATGCAAATTCGTTCAAAATCCATGTCGTGTGGCCAAAAATCCCCATTCTGTAGCTGTCTGCGGCTCTCGTTCTGGCTCTTGAAGGCATGTGGAAACGCGCGGACATGCACCCACCCTCTACCTTGGAAACCAGCTCACGCATTCCGTCTCCGACTCACTCGCTCTAACAAGCACAACACTTCAAGGCAAGCTAAAACACAGTGTATCAAAAAAAAAGCCAGCCAAAATCGAACTGGCCGAGGCGGGCATCGCGACGAGGCGGGCATCGCGAAGCCTTTACAATTATGTTCACCAATGGGTTCCCTCTCAAAGCTCATACCCTCTCTGAAACTCCTTGATGTTTGCGAAAAACAAAGGAACTTGTGCAACCTCTTTGGCAGAGCTTCGCGGGGCTATGTTGGCAAATTTCCGCAAACAACAACTACGAGGTATCTCGAGATCAATCGTGGAGGTTTCGCACGCGACACATAAGATCAAATGGCCTTGTCCTTTCATATCTCAATGCAAGGACCTTTATGGGTGTGGTTCTTTTCTGATTTGGAACCACTCTTTTGCTGAATGAAACGGAAAACGAAAAGGAACCCGCTACCATTTTTGGGCCCTGATGTTGGAACAACCAGGCATAGTCATGAAGTACATGGTCAATCTGCGGCGGACCTCGCCATTCCCGCTACCCATGGTGCGCCTTAGTTTCGCAGAACAACAGATCATGTACGCAGGGTGAGTTCCTTTGTTCAAGGCTAACAACGGCTTTTTGCTACTCACTGTTTTTCTTTGAACCCGCAAGCAACGACCTGCGATGTCAATCGTCTTCCGCGAGCCTTCTGGTGAGGGTCAGTGGTCACAATGCTCATTAGGGACCTGGAGATAAAAGGTGATCTCACCGTTTTGGGGCCTTTATTAAAACTGGTTGCCAAACTGGGAGAAGGTCCAAAGGTCAAAAGTTTGATTCGCTTTGGGCAAGTGAGAATGAGTCTGAAGCTGACCGACCGACTTATCGATGGATGAAGCAAACTGGAAAACGCCACGCTCCCAGCCCGCAGCTCTCGGGCCTCTGCGACCGTCACAGAAGCAGGCTCGTAGGGCAACTGAAACCTGACGTGCATCCAGCGAAGCAGCGAAGCCATGGGCCAGTTTGTGTACGGATATTGTCCAAACTTCCAGCAAATGTTTGTGATGTTAGAACTTGTCCTGGAATATGCATCTGGACGGAACGCGCTAGCCCCAATCTTCTGCCATCTTCTGCCCAAAAATGACACGGACTTGGTGATGAATGGTTGAAGCACGGCGCTGCAATGTAACAATTGGCTTAAGATCTCCTGGGTGCTGGGATTCGCGGCGTGGAGGCCAAGTGGCTCCTGTTTTGCCACCAGACCAAACTTATGTGAGCCCCGCCCCGGGTAAGTTGGGTAGGTTTGAAGGGACACTGACAACCTGATCAACCCCACACTGATAAACTCACCTGCACAGAAAACAGAACCAAACTCTGGACCCGTTGTTCCCATCACATCCCGTTTCGGTGCGGAGGGTTGCCTCATGGACAGAAAACCGCACCGGGTGCTTTGAGCAAGTGGATTCCCTTTACTCATGGGCGCATGAGCAAAGCATAGTAAAGGTGGCAATCTGGTGGACCTTAGGTCCAGTTCCCCTTGTGACCAAAATGATACTAGAGTGGAAACGTGCTGATCAACAACCCTCCATTCGCTGGCACAAAGGGAGGGGGAGAGTTTGGTCGGGATGCCTGTCTTCGAGGACACACCCTGGCTAATGACGTGTCAAGTCAATCCCAGTGCTGGGAATGAAAGGTCAATAGCATATTCTTCTAGGTCGAAGTAATTTTCAATGGCCTGGGTCGCTGTGTGGAAGGCTTGCGAAAGCCAGGCGGGGTGCATATATGGGCAGAGCTGGATTGATTTCTTAGCGCGTCCTTCAGGCTTGGAGCATCCACGATCTGCAAAGGGCGACATGAGAGCGGTAAGCCCAACGTGTGCTGGGCATGTGGCATGCCGCATTAGGGCTACGCGGCGCGGCGGAAACTATCCGAAGATAAGAGCAAAACATGGCCAACGGTCAGGGTCCGTTCAAATTCCAACCAAAACAAGAGATGCACATAAGCCCAAACAAGAGATACGGTCTGTCAGTAGAAATTAGACCCTCAAATGGTCCAGAAATAAATTATTTGAGACTCTCAAGCGCTCAAACAATCAAAAACCACTCCCCACTGAAACTGGTTTGCATACATATATATATATATGTATTTATTTATTTATTCGAGCCCCAACTCTCACCTTGGTTTCCTTTGCTCAGGGGCCTGAGAATTGGGTGTTCACGCTTTTGGAACAGCAGCGTCCAATTTCCAAACTCTGAGCCAGAGGTGTGGTAAGTTGCCAAAAAATTGTTCGAGGAAAACCTGTAGGTTTCCAAACCTTGATTTACCGCGTGCTGCGCCTTTAGATGTAGTACATCTAGACGCCTGGAAACATATAGAAATCTGCAGAGATTGTCCTTTGCAGACTTGTCTCATAGCAGCACTCTTTGCCTCAGTGGGCAGTGGACTGTCGGGAGCGAAGGGAGATAGGATCCAATCCTGGACTTGTTTTCTTAAATTGGACGCTGCTGCCCCAAAAGCGTGAACACCCAATTCTCAGGCCCCTGAGCAAAGGAAACCAAGGTGGTCAAAAACCAACCCAAACGCACTAGTGGAGGCACTGTGACACCAAACGCAAAACATGGCCGAGAAACACCTCCGTTCAATAAACAAAATTGGAAATCCGGTCAAGACTCTGGATTGACACCACCATTTCTTGTTCCCCATCAAACGTTTAAGAAATATTCCAGACCCCGGTCAAAACACACGGTTTTCTTAACATACCGATCGACCGTGCACATAAGCTACTATCAGTATATATATATATATATGTATATGTATATATATATATATACACAAAATTCATATGGCATGAGCAAAGACTCTGGACCTCCTTCCGAGCAGCTGCTTCGCCACTGCTTGGATCAAGGACTTCTGTGTGACGTCGCCTCCTCGGCACACGTGGAGATTTCCGCGACTTGAAAAGGACAACCCATCCGCACACACAAACACACACACACACACAGACAATCGCACATGCACATGGGCTTGCGGTTTTGAGGGTACCATTTTTGGGGTTGGTTTGAAGAGAGGAAGGAGAACTGTCCGGGGGTCCCCACATTTTGACACCCACACACAGGCACAAACAAATACACAAACTAATAAACAAACAAACATAGAACCCTGGAAATAGTTGGACCATGGCACAGCATGTTGGGGTTGCAGTACAACAAAGCTGAGTCTCTCTGCTTGGCGAACAGTGATCTGAGAAGAACACAGAGCGTATGAGTGCCTGTTTCAGAAATGGTTACCAAACAAACAACTGCCATAGTCATAATTCCCTTAAAACCAGAATCATGTCCATAGTTCTGTAAGAGGTTCGGTTGCCCCAAGTGGTTCGGTTGGACATTCCTACCAACCGCAAGTGGTTCGGTTGCCCCATGGCACATACAACGACCCGTGCAAAAGGCAACCTTGAAACAAGATTCCATCTCAGATACCGGCGGTCCACTGCCAGGTGGTAGTCCATCTCAGGTGACACCTCCCAAAACTTACTCCGCCCCAGCAAGTCTCGAGAACGGGGTCCAAATTCAAGCCTGTTGTCCAAAACTTTACGTTGGCTCGGGTCAGCTACTCGTGCTTTTGCAGCACCAGTGATGCCACAACATAGTCACATCATTTCATATCTTAAGGGTGCGGAGTTTTTTTTTAGTTTTCGTCCGGGCCAGTATTCTGTTGTTTTTTTTCTGCATTTTCTCGCGAAAATGACGCATTTTACACTAGCCCGTCAACATCCCCAGCATCGTTTCAACATCCCCCGCATGTCCGACCAACATCCATAGCATCACCAACACATCGTGGGCGACAAAAACAAAAAAGTAGCTGGCGGGTTGACGGGGTCAACAAAGTGATGATTCAAATAGGAGGGCATTTCAATCCCTGTAAAAAACAAAAAGTAGCGGGGGGGATTGGGGGGGGGGGCACCCCCCCCCATGATGTTGTTTGCAGAAGTGATGATTTGAATAGGGGTGCAATTAGATCTCTGCAAAAAGTCTAAAAAGTAGCGGGGGAGTTGGGGGGGGGGCGGCAGCCGCCCCCATGATGTTCGAAGAATTGATGATTCAACTAGGGGTGCAATTAATCAAATCTCTGTAGAAAATCCAAAACGTAGCGGGGGGGTTGGGGGGGGCGGCACCCCCCCACATGATGTCGGAAGAAGTGATGATTCAAGTAGGGGTGCAATGATTCAAGAAAGGGTGCGATAGAATTTAAAAGGCAGCGGGAGGGTTGGCGGGGGTGGCTTCCCCTATGATGTTCGAAGAAGTACATACATACAGACATACATGGATTACACTGAATACCTAAAATGTCGTATTTTGCAGCATTTTCTCGCGAAATTGGACGGTCGAAAAGTGATGATTGAACTAGGGGTGCAATTCAAAGATAAATCCAAAAAGTAGCGGGGGGGAGGCGGCAGGCCCCCCCATGATGTTTGAAGAAGTGTTGATTCAAATAGGGGTGCAATTACTCTGCAAGCAATCTAAACAGTAGCGGGTGGGTTGCGGGGGGGCTTCCCCCCCCATGATCTTCAAAGAAGTGATGATTCAAATAGGGAGGAACTGGTGATGCTGATGATGCGGGAAGCCACATCCAAAAAGCCTGGACAGGAACTGGGAAAGCAGAGGATGCAAAAAGCTAAAACCGCATAAACCAGCGCCGCAAAAGCCAAAATGCCACCTGCCGAAGAGGAACTGGGAATGCAGAGGATGCGAAAGGCCAAAGCCAAGAAGCCGAAAAGCCCAGAAGCTGAGAAGCCAAAAAGCCAAGAAGCCAAGAAGCCGAAAAGCCAAGAAGCCGAGAAGCCAAGAAGCCAAGAAGCCAAGAAGCCAAGAAGCCCAAAAGCCAAGAAGCCAAAAGCGAAAAAAGAAAAAGAAGAAGAAAAAAAACGAACAAACATCCTAAAATAAACACCCCTCCATATCTTAATCGCGCACAGCCGCATACTCAACCACGTAAATCCTTTGTTTGTTGCAATTGGCATACCGCCGACAGAACATCACTCCCCTTCGGGGAAATTGAATGAGGCACTTGAGCGACTGGCCGAGTCTTGGACACCTCTCTTTGTTGCTGGTTTACTGGCTGAGGTCTTGACAGGATAACCCTAGTCAAAAAGGCCAAATAAGATAGCCTGCAAAGGACACCCCCGTAAAAGCTGGCCTCAAACGGCGGAAAGTCGAAAGCCGATATTTCTCCGCCCCCGCGCCTCCAGGAGGTGTCGAGTCAGACGTGCCACGTCGCGCACATGGACCAGCCTGCGCGTGATTCGCTGCTGTGCTGAACTGGCTAACGTTGACCCCATTCTAAGAACCTCCGGCTCTATTTCGAGTCCCTTTTCAGAGAGAACCCCCCTGATCCACGACTGGGGTTTATTCAATGGGGATCTCTTCACAACAGTGGTGGACATCAACCCCCCAATGGTTGATGACTTTGAAGCTCTTGCAAAAAGGGACGGAAAGGGATAACGAGATACTATTCAAGATCCCAAATATACAAACATGTATTGAAAAAGGTTTGGGCCTTTGGCCATTCATCTCTCTCATTCTTCTTGTTCCACATTCTAAAGTGGTTCCAGGGGATGTGGATGGCCAAGAGAGAAACATGATAAATGACTAGCCAGCACTTGGTATCTTGTCCTTTCCTCTCTCTCATCTGGAGTTCTCCTGCCTCACCCGAAATCGATTAATATGTGAATGAGAGGAAAGGACCATGACCATCTCTTTCTCCCAGCCACCCATGCCTCACACGCGCCATCAGAGCTCTCTAACTTCAATTCGCTGGGGTGATCTTGGTCCATGGAGACATATGAGGCAAGGTCCCAACACGTTTGTCAACATTCACAGTCAACACAATGAAGTTACCTTCCCCTTGATTGTTTGACCCGCAAATCACCTCTTGAGTTGCTACCCAACCAAATGATGTGTGAGACTTCCTCTAACGCTTTCATGAATGGAACGGCTGTCCATTTGTCACAAGCCTGTTTATACAGTGATACATGTGTTCAAAGTGCGCCACTTGCCAAGAGCGAGCAGGGGAAGCGACAAATATGGTTGACTCCAAAACACCAAATCATTGCAGGCAGGTAACTCAATCCTATCATTCACCAAGGTGTCTGGTTGGTCCACTTGCAAGCTTGAATGTCACACACCAGCCAGGCCGGTTCCTTGTGGTTATCTGTTGAGTTGTTTTCTCCTTTTTGTCCGTATGTATTGTCCTTCCAAGACATCCAACCGTCGCCACCGTGTGTAGCCCACAGTTCAAGCACGTTCGACAAACGTCGTGCGGGCGCACTCTTTGTTGCTCTGAATTCCTGGCACAAGGGGAGTAGATCAATGGCAACCCTGAAATGGGAAACCAAGGGAACGGGGCCCGGCAGCAAGTGTCCATGACTTGGTCATCGCAAGGCCAAGGAAAACCGTGAACCAAACAAGGAAAAACGGATGGATCCTTGGAACCGGGTCCAAAGCATTTCCCTCTTGGCCGCCGACGGAAGGTAGTTGCTGCCGTCGCCGATCACGCGCAAAGTGTTGCGGGTCCTCAACGGGACTGCAACATCTCCCTTCAGGCAAGGTGGGAGAGTCTCATTTGATTTGTCTAGTCTCCCACAAAAGGGCAAAATGAAACTGTAGATGGAAAATTCAGTTCTTAGGTGGCCTGTTAAAGCCCCGAATACCGTGTAACATACCCAACAATCACCTTAGTGGGAATGGTTCAGGCCTCATCCAGGGCCATGAAGACATCCCCAATGACTTGTAGGGATCCAACGAACCTCAACCTTGCGAGACTGCAAGAATACCAAGCCTTTTGCAAAGATCTTGGTCGACACAACACGCTGGGCTTACATGTTTCCGTGGCTTTGAACATGCATAAAAGCCCAGATACCGCGCTGACACAATGGCATGATTTGTTTCACAGGTGCGGGGACTGGACACCTAAAGCTCATCAAGAAGGAACCTGCATATTGACCAGAAAGGGCTTGCGGGAAAGGTTTTGGCAAGGCAGGAAACGCCCGGTACCCCATGAATAGCGGGACAATCGCCTAACTGGTGCGAAGTGGATTCTGCCCATCCACAGCAGGAATGCTACAATACCCCTTTCAAGCAGGGCCCTACCTCTTGGCCAAAACAACGGATTGTGCGGAAGTCGGCGAAAAAGGAAAGGGTCCTCAGCTGCAAACCAACATGGAATCCACAATGGGGTCCCCTACAAGGAGATTTCTCTGGTGACTTTTGGGGTTCCATGATACTCAGGGCACAATTTCCAAGCTCGGTTGGGCCCCCCGGCTGCCAGGCTGCCTTGAAGAGACCCAGGAAGGCATCCTCACGGACTTGATGCCAAGCTTTCGGTTAAGAGCTGGGTCTGGGTCTGTCAACCCCAGAAACATGAGTGGCTTGTTTGAGGTGCTCTTCACCCCTGTTTGTTTCTGAAAGGTCTTAGGAACTTAGGATGTCTAAGGTCCTTGCCCTCTTTACGCATTTCCGACCTGACACCAACAAACGATTAGGACGAAGGGCCTCAAATGTAAAGATGGTCCGACGGACCTTCGATGCGCATGGAGTGCAATGCCCGCAGAGTTACAAGGAATGCCCCGGATGTGCAAAGGGTTTAGTCTAAGGGGTGCTATCTGAAACTTGGCCATTGGACAGTGAACATCACTTAGATTTGATGCGCGTAAGTAACGGGTAAAGCTTCTTTAGAATGCTTGTCCAGTATCATTTCAGCAACATGAACCCTTACAAAGGATTCAACTTGGGACTTTGTCTCTTGGGAAGTCCACAACATGATGATTGCGCTTAGGTTTCCCTTTCAAACAACCAAATAGGCTGCTACCTCCTAAATGTTGGACCCATAGAATGTTCAAAGTGAGGTGAGAATGAACAGTGATAGCATGGTGTTGTAACGCGGCATAGGGGTTCCCGATATTATTTGGAAACCATGATCTGCAACATATATTCCCTCTAACAACAAAAGCACTCTTGCTGATTGAGATGACTTAATGGGTGTGGATTTTTTAGGACAAAGCCCCCACTTCTGAAAGCTTCTCTTTTAAGCGCCCACTCCTCGCCGTTGCCATAGGGCACCCCTGCACAAACCTGGGCAAAAGCAGGGGGCATCAATGACTGTCCCGTACCCCTTTGTTGGCGAAATGGGAATTTAGCAAAGTGTCCCATTAAACTGGGAATCCTTCAGTGTTTTGTTTCTCTCTTTCTTATTTTTTTTTTCGGGGGGGGGGGGGCATCCCCCTCACGGCTGAAAGCTATCTAACCCAATAAATTAGCTGCTGCTTGTATTCCAAGGGATACGATTCCTCGGTGAATTCGGGTGTCAGCCCATGCCTGGCTGCGCCGCCCAAGAACCCCCCCCGCCCCCCCGCCCCCACAGGTTGCGAATGTGAGGTCCATTCTGGGCTTGCGCCTACTCATACTTACAAAGGGTTGGGCTGCGACTTGCGATGTGTATGCTGCCACAGTCCAACCCCATGGTTGTGACCGAGGGCCTGAGGGGAATCCAAAACGGGTACATGCCAAGATCACCCCTTGAAGGTGGGTTGCGGACAACACAAATATCCCTTCCATGTGCATGTTCAAAGAAGATACTTTAAACTCACTTCCGCTTGCAGTTTCCTGTCTCACTAAGGCATAGATGTGTAAGTCATGGCGAATTCTTTCATTCCGTTCCAAGGCAAAGCATAGTTGTCCCGTCAGCTAAAGAGTTGCCGCGGGCCGTCGGGCAATCGTGCTCTGAGAATTGAGTCGAAGGAAGCTCTACGCAGTTTTCTCGGTCAGGTCACATGGAGCCAGCCAACATTGGGGCCCTTCCCGCTTGTTACCTGTTTGGTGACTTCTCCACAAATGGGTTGTTTTCGGCATGCGCCAAACACAGAAGAAAAACATGTGTCACGCCCATGTAAGCAGGAGGAACAGCAGCACTGCTGCAAAGGAAAACATGAAAAACACTTCTGCAAGATAATATATTTAGAGCGCTATCCATGCAAAGACTGGCTGACTCGATGATGTTTCATCAGCGCTATGCTTGCAACTCGACATGTTGACGCGGGAAATGAATCATATCTGTGAATTGTTATGAGGACACGCACATTCAACGAATCCAAGCTGAAGTCAAGTCACCTATCCACGACACTCACATTTAGGTAAAACACTTGGCGAGAATACTCCGGCTAGTGCAGGTTCAGTCCGTGTAGGCATGTTCCTCCCCTCTCGTTCACCAACAGGAACTGCTCTGGATCTGCTGAGAGAAAACATGCATGAGGCACCGAGCTGGCCTCATTGCCCTGTTCAAGGGGCCCCTACAAGCCCATGCCGTCAACCTCCCGGCTCAGGCTACCTGTCGGCGAGGCCTAGGAAACCATGCAACCATCTGGGCGTGCGGCCACGTAGGGCTGGATGTGGCTGCCCGTCTTGTCTCGGAGACTGAGCACCTGCTTGACACTGCTTGAAGGGTGCATGGAGTTTGACAAATCGGGAGCTCCTAATATGCGGGACACCTATGGTTTTCTTTGAAAGAGAAATATCAGCTACGACAGAGCACCCATTTTGAAGGTTTCAGACACTCCTTCCAATCATGGAAGCTGATAGAGAATTTTGAAAGACTACGCTTCTGTTGGAGGAGCCCCCAAAAAAGCGTCCACTTTCATTCTTGAAAAAGGGTTTCCCATTTGGATATTTCTCGAAACGGTGGCCCCCTTTTGCAAGGTATTTTCGGAAACCAAAAGGACTGAGTTGCCATGTTGCCATTATAGAAACACCCAACATCTTCCCATGTGTCTTTAGGACAGAAAAGTGTCTGATTCCTTCTCAGCAACCCCCCCCCACAACAATTGTCACTCTCAGGATCGCCTGCGTCTCGATGTCCTTCCACTCCTGGAACTTGGGCGCTGGGATTCGGCGCTGGTAGTCCTGAACACAGGCGTGGCTCGAATTGGACGTGGCCGTCTGAAACCACGGGACAAAAACTTGGACATTTCACCAAACGACAAGCTGGGAAGAAAAGCGGCAGACCTCTCACTACGTTCTCAGACATCTCACCAAAGCACAAACGAAACCAAAAAACACAAACACACAGAAATAACACGAACCTCGGGAACAAAGGCGAACTGGGCACCTTTAAAGACCTAACGCCCTGCTCGTGCCTGGCACTTTAGCGCCGTTGGCCGCAACTGCGCCGGCGGCTCGACCTAGACGGCGAGAAGCGCGAGCCCACAGGCTCGGGGGTCCCCCAAGTCCATTTATCTAATATTCCCCAAAAAGGGAAACTGGAACAAAAAATGGAATTCCAGGCCCGGCGGGGGGGGGGGGCCTTTTTTAAGGTTCCCTTCGCACCTTGGCTTGAATCTAAAGCGGAAAAGCATGATTCCCCCAAAAAACAAATACACAAAATTAGGGCCCACAGAACCATCTTGGTTTTCGGGGGCAATGTACGGGAAATGGTTGAAAGGTGACCCAAGACCGACTGCCAAAAGGTGTGTTGAGCCTCCACTCAACTGAAGGTAGAGATGACCAAGGATCACCATCCCCACCCCCCAAGTCATCTTGAGGGCCCGAGCGACTTTAGGCTCAGGTGCCTCCTCTCCTGGACAACTGATTCTGTATGTCCAGTGCTGCCGCGTTCGGGACTGTTTGCTTCTTCTAGGCGCCCCTGGAATGTCATTTGTGGCGCTGTTCAGCCCATCTTGCCTCGTGTAACGAACGATTTCAGAATTCAAGACTTCAAAAAAGAGCCATTTGAGGAACCTGGGTGTTTCTAGGGGTCAGAG